GCGTGCAGCTGATGCTCGAGGCCTTCACCTGCTTTCAACAGGATCCGGACATCCAGGCCGGGAAGAGCGGGGGAAGAGCTCCGGGGAGCTTCCTTGTCTTGACTCTCCACCTGGCCAAGCTTTAAACTTTTAGGGTTTAGGGTTTAGGGTTTAGGGCCCGAATGTCATGATGGAAGTAGGGCTTTTTCTGTGCAGGTCTTGGAGTTTGTCTTCATTTACAGTTCTGTGGTTCATTTCCTTTTCTGGAGCTTCTCTCTGCTGAATCCTCCCAGGCTTGATTGTTCATAGCCTAGGGCTTTGGGATTCAAGGATTGGGCTTCAGTCTCGTACTGTCCTCTTAGGCTTGATGTTGAATCTGCAGCCGTTGCTTTCAGACCCGGTAGCCTTCAGCCTGAAACCTCACGATCGCAATCCTCCACCTGCAGCGGCAGCCCCTTTAGGATAAGATACTCTGACATTACGAACCTCCACTAACCCCTTGTCGCAGCTGTTACGACCAGGCTGCGATCCCGTACTTCACCCATAGATATCCGAATCCTGCAGCAAAAGTCTTAGCAGCAGATGGCGGGCGTGCAAGACAGCTCTTTTCGTGATCGTTCTGTGTTCAGGTCAACACCGTAGCCATCAAGGATCTTCTTTCCCTGGATGCGCAAGCACTGACGGACAAGGTGGCAGTTGGTTTGCGAGGGGGATGTGATGCTGCCGTGAAGTTGCAGGATGTTGGCTTTCGTGGGCTGCTAGAATGGCCAAGCAACATAGCACTTGACGACGGTTTCGAAACTGCTTTTTCTTTTTGCTGCTGACCACATGCCCTTCAGTCTTACTCATAACGGCTACCTGTCTCACCCAGCAACTCTACACACTCTAGAAGGCCCTATGACTCTCGGAGCTCCCGCGCCGGTTCTGATTCAAATTCGAGCCGAAGATTTTAGAACGGTCCTATTTTGAGAGTGATGCTCCAAGTTACGCCCAAAGCCCATTGCAGTCATTAAGGCCCCTCTGTTGCGCTGATCGCTCTCTTGTGTGTGAGCGCTCTCCGACAGGCGAAGAGGAGGCTCATCCAGAAGCCTTTGACCAAATTCGTGATGATCGACCTGCCCCCCAGACTGGCAGATTAAATGCATCGTTGTTGTTGCCGATACACAAAGCTCTGAGTCGCCGGCTTCATGAAGAGATGCATCTGTGAGCACCTTGGTCCTTTGTAGCGCAGCTGCGCTAAGTGCTGTGAGAGTCACTAAGGCTCCGGGCCCTATTTGTGGAATTCAGCAAGGCGACTTTCCAGGCCCCGAGTGGCACGGGTTTTGCTTAGGGCTCACCTTTGATTCACGAGCTTTTGTAGGATGTTACAAGCGTGGGGTTTGGGGTCGTTCGGGTTGTTAGGCCGTTGGGGTGTAGAAGTTACTCGTAGGTTTGAGGATCTTGGGGTTTAGGGCTTCAGGGTGTCGGGTGGTGTAGTCTTTCATCTTATCAGGGCTTCCGTCGGCTGAAGGCTTGGCGTTGCGGGTTCTTTGGTTCGGGATCTTCTACCAATACCGTGGTGAGCTTGAGGTCCACAGGCAGAGCTTGGCATGTAGGAAGCACCGACTAGGGGAAGATAGATACCTGAGCTAGACTTGAGCATGGGCTTTGTGAAAGGGGCCGCAGCAGAGCGCCCGATGACGCGATGGCAAGGCCCAGAAATCAATTCCGATTGGATTGAGGGTTTAGTCGCACGATTCCCCAAGTTCCTGGTGTCCCAAACCCTGCTTGCGTCTTCAGGCCGATGTCAGGAATCTGAAACGCTGTGCCGACGTCTTCGCAGGTAGGGCCACTCTGCAGCAAATCTTGACGCAAAAGCATGGGCATTGCATAGGCCCAAGGGGCGGGCGCCGCTTGGACCTGGGCCTGCATTGGACCGGAGTGGCAGGGGCTTGTGTGCTGCGGTTAGGCATTTAGGGTTTAGGACTTTAGGATCTCTTCGAGGGATTGGGTCGGGAGAGTCTTGTCTTCAAGGCTCTGGATAGAACGAAGCACAGTGGTCCAACTGAAGACCCTGAAAATCCCTGAAGCCCTTGCTCAGAACCTGTCTTGCGTTTGGCGGCTTGAGGATTGAAGGTTCAACGTTTCTGGATCCTAAACCAAAGCCGTTAGCAACGAACAAGCAATTCTTCCTCGCATGCTGCTGAAGCCCAAGCCCCCGTCTTTGGTCTCGAGGCCACAAACCCCGTGTTGACAAACCGGGAGACCCGCACGCCGAAAAAAGGTACAACCTTGGTTAATAAAGCCCCACAAGAATTACGATATCAGCTTGGGCCTGGAGTGTAATGCACCGGGCAATGTCTTTCAGCTTCCTCTTCTTGTGCTGCAAATCTGCAGTCTAAGGCTCAAACGATGAGGTTGAGGCTTTTGACCGAAACCCCAACCCTTCGGCTGAAGCCTCAAACCCTACACCAGACATTCTCGAACCATCTAAAGAGAAAGCCGCTGAGGTGGCACGACAGGAGACCACGGGAGGCACGCGGGCCCATAGGGGTCGTCCTAGGCTTGTCACCGGCGATGGCTTTAGAGTTTCCTGGTCAGCGATCTAGGAAACCGGGAGAACCAAAGAGCAAGAGCAAAATTCACCCCAAGACCCCCTTCAACCTCAAACTCGACACTCCCAAGAAGCCTCATCTCTCCAGGTAGCAGCGAGGATCCGGATGGTTATTTTCACCTCAAGGGCCGTGCCTTGACTGGGAAGCTATGCAGAGCTAAGCCTTTAAACGGTAGTCGAAGTCCTAAACCCGAAGCCGGCGACCCGAAACTTGAAGCCCTGTACAATCAATGGGAACAGCCCTAGGTCCGAAACTGGATCCCCTTTTCTCTTCTTGTGTTTTTGCATTGCCGCGACATGCCCAGCGATGGGCCGAAAGCATTTGGCTGAGATGAGGGTTGAAGATGAGCCCCTCAGAGCCTAAGAGAGAGGTCTGAATACCTTGTACTGGTATTCCTTCGAGTTCCGATACCCTAAGATCACCGAGCCGCACAAAATTGCAGTCTAATCATTCAAGCTTCTGAATTTGGGGCTTCGATTGTGTGCTTTAGAGGTTCTGGGGCTTTTGGGGCTCAGCGAGTGACGGGAAGTCTTGACAGATTCCTAGAGTTAAAGGGTTGTGAGCATGCCCGTGAATGTGCAGTGCCCCCAGAGCTAAGCCTTGAAGGTCCAGAACAAGCCACGAAGAAGCAGACGCCTGAAGCCGCCAGACTACGAAGTTCAAAGGTCGCGAGCTCGCATTCATCGTGCAACAACTGATACTTCCAGAGTACGGGTTCGCCCCCACGAAGGTGGGAATTCGGCGGAATTGATAGAGCGTACTACTCGGCTACTTCGGTCTAGGTGCTGCTTACGAAAGTACTTGCTTTGTGCTAACGTGCTTACCTAGATTTACCCTGTGCCATGAAGTACTTAGCCGAGCACCCCGTCATCGTCTTGTCGGGCATTAGGCCAACGGCTCGTCCGCTGGTCATCTAGTTAGATAGCAGCTTTGCTCAGTCGAGGCAGTATGTAGTGTGGGATAACGGTCAGACTGGTTGATGACATGACTACAGAGCTACTTTGCTTGCTCCGGCTCCCTTTCTCCTTCACTCCGCCCTCACTTCGTTGCTGCATGCTGATCCGACCTTGCCTGATGTCGTGAGATCCACAGCTGACATCGCAGGGCTGCTCGATTTTTTTGCTTGAAAGCTTCCGTTCGCTTCTTCCGGAGGAGGGGGTGCTGGACATGATCCGCTGCAGCCTCGGTGATCAAGATGAGTTTTGGGGCTTAGGAGGAAAATTCTTAGGGGTTTCGACCATTTTGATCCGGGGATGTTTCGAAGGCTTCTTTGAGGACTGAATGACACGGCTCACTGGTGATGGCTTGGGTTCCTCGTGATCTTTGCTTTCGGCACGGCTCTCGAAGCCATGCGCACGGCCGCCAGCTCGGGCCCCTGGGCAGGGCCTGAAGAAACAAAAAAGTAACATTCTCGGCCCTTTTTGGCGGTTTGAGCGCAGACTTCTCGAGGCCTCCCTTCGAGCTGCGACCGACGGAAACAAGGGTTCGGGGTTCAGGGTTCCGGAAAAATTGCAGCCATCATGTCCAAAAGGGGATCACCGAGTTAGAGAAGTTAGATATGCAAAAGAAAACTCCCAAAGAACGTCACCGCGAGGTCATTGTGCAGATTTTCTCGACGATCCGGAGGTCCAGACGCTCCTCGACCAGATAAATGAGAGACTTGTCTGAAGAGTGGAGAAGTATAGGGGCTTTTTCGGGGCGTGAAAACAAGTCTATACAAGTCTAGGGCTAGGAGAAGCTCGTGCGAATTACCTGGGGCACTGACTCTAGGATGCAGATTGAGCCATGGCCCCGTCCCCCGGCTTCGTCGCGCGTCTCCTGCTGGCCCTGAGCTGTTCTGCACTGCCTGCCCTGACGTCGTTGGCGCTCTTCGGCAGGCGTGCCCCGCACGAAGCCTCCCCGCCGCACAGGCTTGTCGCGCCACTGAATCGCCACCGGCGGCGGGAGCTCACAGCCTTCCTCAACTCTTGCAACTGGCCGCCTGTGGATCCTAGCCCGGAGTGGGACCCCCTGCATGGACTTGGGCACCGCGGCTGTGTTCGCCTTCGCAGGCCCACTCGCACACTGTTCCGCAAGCAGCGGGCGTCCTGGTGCCGCCAGCCCCGAGCCTGGTCTGGATGGCCTTACCGCAATCAGCGCATTGGGGAGGCGCTCAACCCCGGCCCCGGCGATCCGCCTCGTGAGCGCTCCCCTGCTCGAGCCAGCAGCTCAAGCCGTGTGTTCTGCCCTGTTCCTGGCTGCCCGTCGGCGGATGCCTCCACCGCGCGTGGCTGGCCCACCCACGCATCAATGCGCCCGCATCTGGATGCCCACTCTGGCGGAGTGCTGCGGGGCGCAGTTCCTGCTGACTACTGCCGCACGCATGGCCTGGACAACTGCTCCGTCTGTGGTATGCTTGTCGCTGCACGCTTCAACGGAGTACACCCCCGCTGCAGGCCATCTGCCCGCACAGCTGTGCCAAGCCCAGCGTCGCACCCTGTGGGGGGAGGCATTGCTCCTGACATCGACAGCCTGCCGGACCTAGCCACCATTTTCAGTGCCAATATCCCCGTGTTGCGCCATGTGCCCAAGGCAGCTCGGGGGGCCTGGGCGCAATGCCTGGCTCGCGCCCTCGCCCAGGTTGCTGGACATAACTCTCTCCGTGCATGGCGCGAGCTCCTCATCCTGCCCAAAACGGTCCTCCGGCCTGCCCCGCGAGGAGGGGCCCGCCGCCGCGAGCAGGCCGCTCGCTTCACACAGCGCTGCTGCGCCCGCTGGCTTGAAGGTGAGCGGGGGGAGCCGTGGTCTGAGAGCCCCGCCCGCCGACCCAAACAGGCTTCCGAGGAAGACGAGGCCGCCGTGCTCGCCCGCCGTCATGCCCGCTGCATCTCATTGGCTGGTGAGGGCGAGCTCTCCCGTGCATGCGCCGCCCTCGTCGACCCCCCTCTCCTTGCCGAGTCAACCGAAGTGCTCAACTCACTTCGCGCCAAACACCCGCATGCCAGCCCGGCCCGCCCTGGTCTGCAATCGCTGGGCCCCCCGTCAAGGAGGGACGTCCCCGACATCTCATCCGCGGAGGTGCTCAAGGCTGTTCGGGGGTTTCGGCGCGGTAGCGCCCCTGGCCCCACCGGCCTTCGCGGCGACCATGTCCGTGAGGCTCTGTCAACCGCCCACGCCGACGAGGTTACAGCACACCTCACCGAGGTCATCAGGCTTCTAGTGCACGGCGAGGCCCCGCTCGAGCTTGCTCCACACCTGGCGGGGGCTACTCTTCATGCCATGCCAAAGGGCGGTGACGATGTTCGCCCGATTGCAGTGGGCGAGACTTGGCGCCGTCTCGCCGGCAAATGCCTGTGCTCCTCGCTGCGCGAGGCCGCCGCCCAGAACCTGTGGCCCCTCCAGGTTGGGGTTGCGGTCCCACTCGGCACGGAAACTGCCATTCACACCGCCAGGCAGTGGATGCAGCGCACACCGGCCACGCGGACAAATGCTTTCTGCAGGTGGACTTTCGGAATGCTTTCAACACCATCGACCGAGCGGCCATGCTCCGTCAAGTCCGCCTGCACATGCCTGGCCTCGCGCCGCGGGCCGAGTGGTGCTACGACCACCACTCGCGCTTGCTCTTCCACCACTCTCCTCTGCTGTCCGAGGCCGGGGTCCAGCAAGGGGACCCTCTAGGCCCTTTGCTGTTTGCCTTGACTCTGCAACCAGCCCTGCGGGCCGCTGCCGCGGGCGCAGCGGGACAGGTTCCTGAGCTTACTTTCGCCTTCCTTGATGATGCCTGTCTCGCGGGCGGCTCTCGCCAAGTTGCTGCCGGCCTGACCCGCCTTGCGGCCGCCGGTCGCCAAGTAGGGTTGGAACTCTCCCCGAGCAAGTGCGTGCTTACTGTCTGCGCGGGACCCGAAGGCACTGTTGACCGGAGAGCCTTCCCGGCTGGCATCCAGGTTAACCACACTGGCGCCACTTGCCTGCTGGGGGCGCCCATCGGGCCGCAAGCTTACACGGAGGACTACACTCGGACGAAGCGTGTGGAAAAGGCGACTCTTCTTTTGCAGGCTCTGCAGGAGCTGCCCGACCCACAAACCGCGCTCCTCCTCCTTCGCCACTGTGCCGCCTACTGCCGCATGGTTTTTGCACTGCGCGTGACGCCGCCCCAACTCTTGGCCGGGGCTGCCTGTGACTTTGACTCGGCCGTCCGAGCCTGCCTCGAGCACTTCTGCACCGGGCCGCTTCCTTGCGAGGCGTGGCTCCAGGCCTCCCTCAGCACAGCCAACGGTGGCCTGGGTTTGCGGCACGCGGCTCGACACGCAGCGGCCGCCTACACTGCCTCCCTGAGTGCCGTGCTGCAGCGTTGTTTGGCGCTTGACCCGTCCTACTTGCCCGCCTGGCCCCTCAATGACATAACAGTCACCCTCTTCAACGGACATGTGCTCGCTGCTGACCGTCTCCCGACTCCCGTGCCACCTACCGTGCGACAACAGCAGTTGTCCCAGGCACTAGACCGGGCCGCGGTCCAGCAGCTCCTCACGCCCGGTCCCAACCGCGAGGCTTTCAGAGCCAACCTGCAGCTGCAACGACAGCCTCGGGCGGGAGCATGGCTCCAGGCTGTCCCGAGTGAGGCGCTAGGCCTTGCCCTCGCCCCAGACATCTTCCGAGTGCTGGTCAAGCTCCGGCTACGGCTCCCCATCGCGACTGAAGACAT